TTTTTTTTTTTTTTTTCTGCTGTATATCAGATCCATCTATTACTTCTCCCTCTTTCCCTCTCTCCCTCTCTCCTTCCTCTAAAAAAAGAAGCAGTGCAGAAGATCTTAAAAGTGTTTTTCTAGCCAGATTTAACTGTCCTAATCATATTACTTTTTTATTTCAGGACCGGTGATAAATTTTGATCTGGCAATCTGCTTGAAGTTGACGAAATATTATCAGGCGGGGAATACCAATTTTTTTTATTTACCGCAACATCATTGTCTTTCCACGGCAAGCGAAATATTAAAGGAGGAGTTAAAGCAACGGTATGCGCTCAGAGTAGGTGAAGGAAGGGTAACTTATTGCTTGTAAGTAAGAAGATTTATTCTCACAAACTATATGCCTTTCATAGCGTGAGGTTCGTGGGATGTCTCTGGTTTAATTATAACATAAAACAGTCACGACAATATAGGAGAGAAGGGAAGTGAAATGTACAGTTATAAATTAGCTTTTTTTGGGCGAATTTGATACTGCATATAAAACAGTTTAGAAGACTTAAGCCTTTGAAAGTCAAAAAAATTTGACAATTTTTTTAATATATAAAATGATTCATCTTGGCCCACTCAATCCTACGTCAGCTTCTTTGTGAACTGTAGAAGCTGTATGGTAATTTCTGCAAACTTGTCATCTTGCTAACGGTGTATTGATACTTTAATTTTGAAGTAGCTCAGTCTAAAAACATCGCTGCGATAATGAAAATTTAGCATACAGTGTAACTTGGCGATGTTAACCTTTTTGATTAAGCTCAATTCACAAGTAGGTCACTCACTAAGGAATCTAGGTGTCTACCGTTGCTCTTACTCGTTCAGAATCTTCGTTGAGGTCTTATTATTGGTGCATCTCTTTCTTCTCTTCACCTTTGATAGCGATTACGTTATACAGGCTCGATGAAGCTACAAATATATTTTGCTGTCGTTTTTGAGTCCATTAAACGAGAATTTGGTGCTTATAGGTTGTATCTGTTTCTGCATTGAAAATATTTAAAACAGTAAAACCGCTATGTCTTGATTATTTGGGAAGTCATTAAAGCCAGTTTACTTTTTCGTTTGGAAAAATGATTTTCCTTACTTGGATGCACTTATGAGTATATTAAAGAAATACTTTATTTGCACAACCAACATTTGAAGCTCGCACTAGTCACTAATTCTTTGTACTTCTAATTTCAAACTATTTTTAGTTATTGACTTTTTTTGGACCGTCATTTAAGTAAAATCTTGCGGGAATGATGGGGTTTCTAACAGTAGTTTGGTAATGGTAAATACAAAAGCTAATCACATTATTGACATTTTGTTAGCATGGTTAATCTGTCCCAAAGACCAGAAGTAAGTCAGGTTTTTGCAAAAATCAGTTTAGGTAAACAATATTGATTTCTTTGGTGTGTTAAGTGCCTTCAGGAGCGAATCACTGTTGAGCTACTTCGTTGTTGGCAGACTCTCAGCATCTTCATGCCGCCTAGAAATACAAATGAGTAAGAAATTCTAATTCTTTTTTAGTACAAGAACTTGGCATAAAAAGTTAATGTGACAACTGATGTACCATATGGTGTTCAAGAAAGTAGCGGTTTATAAACTTTTATTGTTTGCTGCTTTTCGATCTCATTGCTAGTTTGCAACTGCTACGTTTATCAAAAAAACTTCAGGGGAAATTTCAAATTTTTGCAGGGGAAGAGAAGTTATTAGTGTAAGGAAGAGAATGAAGGTTTTACCGTTCAACAGCCTTTTTTGCATCAACAGTGCAATCGATAAACTTGAATCTTTTTGTTGGTGGTTCGCCATTTGAAATTCCTTTTGAGTCTGACCGCTGTTTTAGCGTAGGTCTGAAGCGAATTAATTTGATGTAGTCTTTGGTAGTTGGATTTGAGTTTGGATCTGCTTTACTCTTTGTGGGATTTCCACGGTCAATGTTTGGAAAATTGACATCATCTTCACATTGAGAGTTAAGATATTGAACTTTTGATTTCATTATGGAAGGTAGAGCAAGCCATCTGTTGTTTGGAAAGTCCTTGACTAAATCTGGCGTAGGAAAGAGGGAAGTGGAAGGTCCTGTTGGTATTTCACAGGGTTCGGTGTAATGTCGTTGGAGATGGACGGCCAGCTTGTTGACACTTCCAAAACTTTGGCCGCATAGCTTGCAGTGATATCTTACTTGTCTCTTCAACTTGTAGTAAGGCGTGCAGCAATCTTCACTTGTTACAAAATCCTGGAACTAGCCCTAAGTTGTAACTACAATTAGGATTGCTGTTTTTAGCATAACTGGCGTCAATTGGTTCCAAAAAAAAAAACAGCTTTCTATTATATTTTTAATTTTAGTTTTAACAATTTGGTCCAGGTTTTTTATAAGTTAAAAAAACGTATATTTCACATAATGACCTGTGCTAGTTAGCAAAAGTTTTACAGTGATATTTGGGTGGTAAATCAATAAGTGACAGAGATGCGGGAAGTAATTTTTGACTACACCATAAAGAGCTTATTTTGAGTGAGTAATTCGTCAAGATTTCAAATGAAAGGCAGAAATGAATATTTTTTGATTTGAGCAGGAGGGACTACATGTGATGGAAGGGAACCAGATGGCGTTCACTTTAACAAGAGGCATTTTTTAAGTGGAATTTAATTGTTACTTTTCCAGTACGATTGGACTCTGTTAACTGTTAGTGGTTGTATAAAACGCCCCCAAGTCTTACATGGCAACTATCAATTTGAAACAAAATTGTTTTCAACACTATTCAAGCGATCCGGTAGTTCTCCAACATTGTATGCACTACTAACTTCTTGTGCACCGTCTTAGTACTACATTCTCTTGGCTTTTTTTAATCTTTGTTCTTGGTAGTTATAGTGAGCTTCTAGCATGTTACACGTAATTTAGCTCTTACTTTATCCTGCCTGCTGTCTGAGCTTGGTTCTTCCCAAGCTGTGCGCAGAAACTGAAGGGCTGTAAAAAGTTTCGAGAAACTAATAAGGGTAAGGGAATGCTGAATCGAAAATTTTGATGGATGTTGATATAGTCTCAAAATTTGTCGGGCTTGCGTTTCTCTACTGTAGGAATATATATATACATATTTTTTTTTTGCTGCCAGGCTTTATTACAGATCTGTCAGTCTACCTATCACTAATGGCTAGACGGTTAAGAATAAGAAATTTATTGTGCAATTTCTCAAATTTCTCAACACCAAGTAGTTTAAACAGGTTTAACCTTATTCTTTCTTTTTAATAAATTCACTGACGCTACGAAAAAAAAAACAAAAGAAAAAAGTGATAACCTCATTTTCTAAGCCAGATTTATTGTTTTTTTCTGAATTCCAAGCACTTGTTGCAGTAATTGTTGACCCATTAGGTTCATTGAGGCATGGCGTTTGATTATCATTTCGAACAGAATCCAAAAACTTTCCGTTGCTTCTAAAGCAGTTTTTTACCGGGTCATACTCCTTGAAGCAGAAAGTCGATGTTTTGGCGGTGTCATCACCATTCTGCAATGATTTTGGTCAAGTCTTATAGTGCTTTTTCCAAAAAGTGCGCCTACACACTGATGAACACTACTGTTGATGTTTTGAACAGTGTTAAGTTCTCAGGATATTTTACTTTTATTAATGACGTAGAAGGTTTGACATCAGTTGTGAATAGTTTTACAGGTAATGATACACTGTTGCTTCCAACGGTTGTTCGAGATACATCCGGTGATCTTATTTTGGTTGTAGCCTGACGTCGCTGAAGACGAGCGCAAATTTCGTCAAGAGTTTTCATCGCTGCAATATGCTTAAAATTGCAAGATTTAGTTTTTTTTTTGACGACATGGTCGTTATGGAGAATATTGGAAATTAGCAGTTAATTTCTCGAATTATTTTCTAGATTACAGGAAACATTGTAATGGCTTGTTTTTATGAGCAACCAAACACTGCAGAGAGACGTCGTGTGGTGTTACAAGGCAAAAAGAAAACGATTAGAATGATTCTGTTTGCATTCTACTAGTATGACACGTAACAGGTCTAGTATATCTAATACTGGGCCTCTTACGTGTCATGTCAAATCTTAGTCTGCTTGCTGCGACGCTGAATGAAATTCTTTCGTTTTTTTTAAAGCTATAACGTCGACTTTTTCACTGTATTTGTTCCATGTTGCATTTAAGTTGGCCGCCACAATTGACTGCAATATACGGCAGCTCACTTTTTTGGTTTTTAGCGAAACTGATATTTATCGTTCCTTGACTAATTGTTATTCAATCCGTTCAAAAAATTTTCTTTCATTGATTTTGGCTGAGGCACCACAATGAGTGTTGGTTTCGCTAGTCAAGTGATCGACAGCTTTCATCTCAGCTTTTGAAAATGATAAATAGCAAAAAACAACTAGAATGGAAACTTAATAAAATACGAATCTGTGTTGTCTGCGTTGTTAAAAGTTTTTTTTAAACAATTTGAGTTAGTCGGTTAGTGCACAGTTAACATTCTTTGTTACAGTTGTTTCTTAAAAATTAGTCTTCCATGCTCCAGTTTATATGTTCTTTATTACCAGTGTTGTAGTTTTTAGGATTATTATTAATAAATGGTAAAAAAGTGTCAAAATTTGCTTACATTGCTTTGTTTCAGGTGTGCTTTTATAATAAGAAAAATTTAAAGAAGAGTGAGGGAAGAAGAGAAACCGAAAAAATTTAGAAAGATTTAGTAGGCTGAGTTTTTGAACGCAACCTATGGCGTAATAGTTGAGTTTATATTGTTAAGATAAACACAAAACTATTTGAAAGATGGATGGAAAGGCATTGTCACTAAAAAACGGTATATCAGTCACATCCGGGATCAGATTGGAAATCCTTTGCATTTTTAAAAAATAGCAAAACAATATGAAAATTGGAAGTTGATTTAGCAGGCCGGAAGATGAAAAAAAGAAAGAAAGCTGCAAATTTTGAACGAACATCAATAACAGTGTAACAGCATAAG